CCCGTGGAGCCGCGGCCGATATCCTTGCCTGGCGGCGCGCCCGGGCTTCCCCAGGTGGGGGCGCTGGCCGTGGAGGCCATCGTGCTTGAGTGGATGCCCTTGTGGGACGAACCGTCGAGGACGAGGGGGGCCCCCGCGGCCAGCTGGCAGGTGCCGCGCACGCTCGGGGCCATCAGCGTGGACCAGGTGCGGACGGCCTCCCTCTCCTTCGGGCGCAGGAAGGGCCTCGGCTGGGACAACTTTCACCCACGCTTGCTCAACGAGCTCCCAGACCCCTGGTCGAGCGCTTCACGGCCATCTTGAACCAGTTCGAGGACTCGGCCGAGGTGCCCGACCTTGGGACGACGATGACGGTCTTTATCCCAAAGCCGCCTCCCGACGTGGGCAGGCGGCCCATCGGCCTGATGGAGCTCTGGCCTCGGGTGTGGTCGAAGATTCGCCAGGGCCTGGTCCGCGCCTAAAAACGCTCAGTCGACGCCGATTTCTTTTGGGGCAAGAGCGGGGACACGGCGGCGGACCGCGCAGCCTACATCCACAACTTGCTCGTAGTGCACGCCAAGCGCCACGGATTCGTGTCTGGGACGTTGTATTTCGACGTCAGCAAGTTCTTCGAGAACGTCTCCCACTGCATATTGGTCGTGGCGGCGCGGCACTTCGGCTTCGACCTGAAGCTGCTGAGGTGCATATGCGCGATCTACCGCGGCCCGAGGCGGGCCAGGTGGCTCGGCGCCACGTCACGGGCGGTGCTGTCCAATGGCACGGTGATCGTGGGCTGCAGCTGCGCGACTGGCGTGGTGAAGCTCCTGACGCTGAGCCGCTGAGCGTTCTCCGGCAGATCGTGGTGCAGACGCCCGTTGTCCGGCCGCTGAATCTCGTCGACGACCTGAAGGTCCACGCGGTCGGCACGCTCCGCACGGTGTGCAGCCAGCTGGTCGCGGCAGCCAACAGGGTGATCAAAGAGATGGAGAAGCTCGACCTGCCATTGAACTTGCTGCAGACGTGCATCCTCTGTTCGACGTCGGAGCTCGCGGACGCGCTGTTGGCGGACAGTCGCTGGCCGTTCGATGAGTCTTTTTTCGCCTCCACCCACCGTGATCTCGGTGGGGACGCCTCCGACGGCAAGGGCCGTCGGGTGCCCACGCAGCGTGCTCGCCTGTCTGCCGCGTCGGCCGCAGCGACTAGGCTCACCAAAATCGGGCAGGGTAGGGAGGCTTCTCGGGTCCACAGGGCGGGTCCAGTCGCTAAGGCCACGTGGGGTGCACACATTAATTGTCTTGGGAATTCAGCTCTGCGGACTCTGACGGTGGCCTCTGCCAGGTCTTTTGGCCCCCTTCAGCCTGGCTCCTCCCTTGGCCTCACCTTCCTCCTTTGTGGGGCCCCCCAGCGCGACCCTCTCGTTTAAACGACGGTGGACGCCGTCAAGGCGTTTGTGTCAGTTTGGTGGCACCGCAGTGTCACGAAGCAGGTGCTCCTCTCGGCGTTTGAAGACGCGCTCCTGTCTGCGAGTAAACCCAGGCCCTGGGGCTCCGCCAAGCAGCCTCTGGCTGCCCTTGTACTGACGCTCGCTCGGATCCGTTGGAGGTTGGATGTCCCAAATGAGGTTTTGGTCGACCAGGCGGGTCGCTCCTGGAGTTTGTCTGAGTTTTCCCCAGCTTTCTTCGCCCTTCGCGTGCGCGAAGCGTGCGAGGAAGCTATTGCGATGGAAGATCAGGTTCGGCAGAGTGATTTTGGCGCCGAGTGGCGCGGCCCCATCTGTCTCAAGCCGGCCCTCGATTTGATTTCGAAGCAAAGCTCGGTCTGGTCCGATCATTGTCGTCACTGCTTGCGCAGCCTGATTGCCAACAGGTATTGGTGCCAGCAGCGATTTCACGACGCCTGTCAGGACATCTCTCCTGCTTGTTTGGTCTGCCAGGCTCCCTCAGGCACCATGTTCCATCGTCGCTTCGATTGCCCTGCCCACGAGGCGTGGCGGCAAGATGTGTTGAGCCCGGACTTGCGTCGGGCGGCGGATAGCGTGCGCCTCCTCTCACCCAAAGCCCAGGAGCTGTTCGCCAGGTCTGTGCTCCCTGACCCCACTTGTTGGTTCACTCGCCCCTCTGAGCACCCCGATGCCACGGTCTACAGGCACAATTGGCCCGCCGAAGGCTTGGTGCTTGGGGAGGGTGCGCATGTGTTCATAGACGGCTCGTGCTACGAGCCTGCTCTCCCTAGGATTCGATCGGCGGGATGGGCGGTGATCGTGACGGACGGGTGGGGGAAAGTGGCTCGTGCGATATGGGGGCGTGTGCCCTTAAGCGCTGCTCCAGCCCAGGTCGCCCGTGACGGTGAGGACTACGCTGTGGTCTCTCTGGTTCGCCATGCTACAGTTTTCCCCGGGGCCAACTTGTATGGGGACTGTGCGGGGACCCTTGGGTATGGTTCGGACCCACTGGGAGCTGTGTGTCCAGACAATGCTCGATCGCATATGTGGCAGCATGTGTACGATAAGCTTGACGGTGTGCGGTGGCAGAAAGTGCCAGCCCATAGCAACCTTCGTGATGTCGAGCATGGGAAGCTCAGTCGGCTTGAGTATCTCGGCAACAAGGCTGCGGACGAATATGCGAAGAAAGGTGCCTCTTTGGGCAGAATCGCTGCCGCCGATTGTGCCGTCGTCAATGGTTGCTTCGAGTTGGCCCGTCTTCTTTGTAAATTCTCGGCTGAGCAAGAGGCTCGGATTGGAGACAGTCAGCAGTTCGACCATGTCGGCATCGATTGGCTTAGGCACATCACCCCTGAGGTCCCTCTACTCCCTGACGAGGTTCCTCCACCTCCTCTTCCTGAGCCTCCTCCTCCTCCTGGGAGTGGCGGGACGGGTCGGGTGTCGGGGAGGGTGGGTGAGGAAGGTAAGGAGGGCAGGGCCGAATGGCCCGACCTCCATGTCTGGCCAGCCCGCGCCCACCACATCATCGAGTGTGGGGTCACGGATCCCTCGGGGGCAGCGGCTGGCTCCCTGGCCTTCTGTACTCGTTGCGGCTCGGTTTGTGCAGTAGGAGGGCACGGGGAAAAAACGGCTCTAGCGTTAGATTGTCTGGGCCACCGCTCCTCGGGTCGTGAGAGGCAGTTGGATTGGATTTTGCGCGGTCGCCATCCTTCGAAGCAAGGGTTTCGGGTCTCGCGAGCGGCCGTGTTATCGGATCCCTCTCGAGACTACCTGGCAGCCAAGATGGGTCTGGACGACCTCCCGCAGCTAGCGCCGCCTCTGTCCAGAGGCTCTCTTGCGTCCATGTCGGGCGGGGGTGGGTGTGCTTGGGCGGGGACTGGGGTCGACCTTCTGCGAGGCCTGTCACTTTTTGGGTTCCGCTCTCGGGAAGAGGCGGAGTCGCTCGGGCTTCGAGCGCAAGAGCGCCGCCGGCAGGTTGCGCCGCCCGGGGAGGATCTTGACCCCCCCTAACTCGTTTGGAGTGTGTTTGATGCATGTTTAATGTGGTGGCACCTTTCTAGCCGTTGCCGAGCTCCTCCTCCTCCTCCTCCGCCTCCTCTTCCTCCTCCTCCTCCTCCTCCTCATCCTCCTCCTCCTCCGAACAAGGGCGAGGCGCCAATGAGCGGGGATACTCGTGCGACGTGGCCGGCGTTCGGAGAGGTGAGAGCGGTGAGCACGAGGGCTTGGGGCCTCTCTGGTGCCGCAGGTCCAGTCAGTATCGGCGCGTTGCGCCAGAGCGCCGACCACGGCATCCACAATACAGGGGGAATCGGCCGATGCTTCAGCACCAGCCCTCCTTAGTCACATCGCATGCTGCACATCTCACTCGGAGAACTCGTGGGCCAGCGAAACGTGGCGGACAGCCTTTCGGACAGAACCGCCTCGGCTTGGACAGCCGAGGTTGGTTCGAGTCCTCCAAATCAATGGTTTGCCCTCCATTGCGGCTGCCTAGCACTCTCAAGCAACGATCGGTTTCAACCATGATGCGAGCTGTCTTGAGAGTTTCGAGGAGGCGGATCCCTCCACCTCCGGACCCCCCCTTCCCCCAGAGACAGCCTTGCTCGCAACAGTTCCATTTTTACGTGAAATACAACAGGCCTTCGGGGGGGGCGTGGCAGGGGCGGCGGCGGCGTCCCACGCGGGGGCCGCGAGAGACGCTGCGAAGGTGGAAGGGCGGAGGGGGGCAGAGGCGGAGGCAGGGGCGGAGGCTGGGCGGAGAGGAGCCAGAGACGGGAGGGGACGGGGCGGTCGAGGTGGGATGCGGAATCGGACGAGAGGCCCAGGTGGCGGGGCATGAGCTGGTTTCGTCGGCGCTGGTTTCGCCGGCGCTGGTTTCGCCCCGCCGGTTTCGTCGACGGCTGGTCCCGCCGGCGCTGGTTTCGACGGCGCTGGTTTCGCCCCGCTGGTCCCGGGGGCGCCTGGTTGCGCCGGCGCTGGTCTCGCCGGCGCTGGTTTTGCCGACGCCGTCGTCGCCGTCGGCGTCGCAGTCGCCGCCGTCGTCGTCGTCGTCGTCGTCGTCGTCGTCGTCGTCGTCGTCGTGGACGTCGTCGTCAGCGTCGTCGTCGTCGTCGTCGTCGTCGTCGTCGTCGTCGGTCGCCGTCGTATCGCCGCTGCCGCCCTGGTCTTCGTGGTCGTCGTCGCAGGCAGCCAGGGCGTCCTCCGTGGCTCCTTTGAACAAAGGCGCCGCTGGCTTCCCCGCAGCGGGCGGACCGAACGGGCGGGTCGGGTCGTGTCGGGCGGGCGGGCCCTAACGGGCGGGTCGGGTCGGGCGGGCGGGACATGAAAATGTGGGGCGCGCTCGACCGAGCACGCGCGAACCCTAACGGGCGGGTCGGGTCGGGCGGGCAGAACCTAGCGGGCTGTTCGGGTCGGGTCGGGCGGGCGGACCCTAACGGGCGGGTCGGGTCGGGCGGGCGGGACATGAAAGTTTGGGGTACGCTCGACCGAGCACGCGCGAACCCTAACGGGCGGGTCGGGTCGGGGGCAGGGGGCGGGGGCACGGGCGGGGGCGGGGCGGAGAGGAAACCAAGAGACTACTTCCTCACGCGGGCGAATTCGCCGCCATCGTCTCGCCGCGAGTGGATGGTCTGGACCTCGCGCGGGGTCCGCGCGGCGCGGCGCTGGCAGTCCGCGGCCAGAACCCCTTTCTGGAAATGGGAGAGTCCCAACGCCAGCTCCAGGCAGGCCGTGCTGCCCGGCGATGGAGGGTGGAGGGAGATGGAGAGGGATAGTTAGAGAGAGAAAAAGAGAGAGGGATGCGGGGAGAAGCAAGCAGACGACGACGAGCGCGCACCCGAGAGGCCAGGGCCGTTTGGATGAAGCAAGCGAGCGGGCAGGCGGGAACGGGGGCTGTAAACAGGGGACATAGCAAACAAGCGACGGGAAAGACGCGTTCCCCCACACGCTACCTCGCACCATTGCGTGCTGTCAACCGAACAGAGTCTTTTGAGAAGAGGGACGTCTCCAAGGTCTCCAATCTCGTGGTGAGCGGCCTGACTCTGAGCTCACACTCACTTCACGTCTGGCTAGGAACTGCAAAGCTAGCACCCGAGCCAATGCAACCCATCTCCCCTGGTGTCTTGACTCTTGAACGACATGAATGAACAGAAGGAGGAGGACGATAAAAGGAAATCATAGACGAAAGAATAATAACAAGATGAAGCGGGTCTACGAAGAACTCCATGGCCACAACGTTTCCTCTCTTTCTCTTTCTCGCGCTCTCTCTCTCGCTCCCTATCTTTCTCTCTCGCTCTCTCTCTCTCTCTGTTTGTTCTCTCTCTCTCGCTCTCATTAATGATCTCTCTTGCAATCGGAAGCCGTCGGTTGAAATCCAGTCTTGGTTGCAGGCTATCAGAGCCCGCTTGGGACGATCTGGCAGGTCGATCCCCATCCTCATTCTCGCCCTTGTACTTACCCGCCCCATGCATTTCCCTCCTCCCTCCTTCTTCCCCCCCTTCTCCTCCCCCCACCCCTCATTCTCAGGACCCTTGTCCGCCCCTGTTCTTCCTCTTCGTCCTCTGTTTCCTCCCTCCTCTTCCCGCTTATCCTTCGCCTCCTCCTCTCCCCTGCTCCTCCCTCTCTTTCCCATTCACCCTGCCTCCTCCCTTCTGATTTCCGCCTGCTTCGCATCCTCACACAACTCCTCCTGGTACCCCTGGCTGCTGCTCTTGCTCCTGCTGCTGCTCCAACTTTCATCATCTTCCGATCATCTGACTCATTCCCGGTGTCCTCCTCCGCCACCTTCTTCTCCCTTCACCTTACCTCCTCCCTCACCCCTTCCAACTTCCACTCCCTCATCTCCATCTCTCTCTCTCTCTTCAACTCTCTCCCTCTCTCTGGATGAACTACTCCCATGTGTACATACATACACATAGGTAGATCTGATAAACTGATTCGTATACACATATGCAGATATGTTTACGTGCTTATATTTATATACACCTATATATATGTATATGCATATATACATATATATATATATACATAATTATGAACATATATATATATATATTCACCACCGTGCCTCTGGCATGAAGTGGAATGCCCCAAGGCTCACAGCTGTGCTGCTGCTGCTGCAACCAGGGTTGTAGTTCTTAAGGGCCCAGACCACACATTTCCCGGGCGCTCTTGCGCGCTCCTGGGCACTCCTGGGGTGTTCTGCATGGGCCTCCCAGACGGTTGCAATGCCCCAAGCGATGTGGGGAATTTCGCGGAGCTGCCCCCCAAGCGCCCAAGACGGTCAAGGAACGCCTCTACGCGGCCCACGAAGGCCCCTAGACGGCCCACGATGGCCTCAAGACGGCCCAACATGGCCAAAAGACGCGCCCAAAGGGTTTCAAGAGGATCTCAAGAGCCTCTCAAAAAACCATCACTATGGATTCCCGGTCGGTTTTGAACGGATTTTACCGTTCTCCTCCTTCCGGGCTTCGAACGCACTAAGAAGGTCCAAGGGGCCCACAAGACCGCTCTTGAACGGCCGAAGAGGCTCCCAAGAGGGCCCCTCAACGGCCTGGGATGGCTTAAAGACAGGCCACAAGGAAGTTGCCAAGAGGGTCCCAAGATGGCCCAAAAGGGCCCCAAGACGACCCAAGAGGCGCCCAAGGCGCCCCAAGAGGGCCCCACGACGGCCCCAACCCAGCCCGCACAGAACCGCAGGACGACGAACCCGCCGTACCCCAACCACACCGGAAGACGACGAGGCTAGAGGCAGCCATGCCAATGCTTGAGCCAATATGTGCAAGCGGTGACGATAATGACCATAGCGAATATGAGGACGTCGGGGCAAGTCGGGACAGGTCGGACCAGGTCGGGCGGGTCGGGGCGGGTCCAGGCGGGTCGGGGCAGGCTCAAGTTGGGGCGGGTCGTCCGCGGCGGATCGCGGGAGGGCGAGCTCATTTGGCGGCCCCTTAGCGCGAGGGCTGGGGGCCGCAGCCGGGGCACCCAGGTTCCCGAGGGAACCACTCCACCAGCAGTCCACTAGCCACCCCCTATAATGGCGACACCCCCAGTGGCGACCCCCCCGTGGCGAACCATCCCGTGGCGGCGACCACCCCCGTCGCGACCCCCCCCATCGCGACCCCCCCCTGTCGCGACCCCCACCGTCGCGACCCCCACCGTGGCGATCTCCCCGTCGCGACCCCCCCCTGTCGCGACCTCCCCCGCCCCCCCCCCCGACCTCCCCGCGACCCCCCCCCGTCGCGACCCCTCCCCGTTGCGACCTCCCCCCCGTCGCGACCCCCCGTCGCGACCCTCCCCGTTGCGACCCCCTCCGTCGCCCCCCCCCCCGTCGCTTTGCAGGGCTCTCCTCTCGTCTGGCCCTGCATGGGGCACGATTGACTCATCAAATGCCATCTTCAAAACTGTTGGGTCTTCAGCCTCCTGCACAACGTCGTCGAGAGGGGTCCCCTGAGCTATCGAGCTCAACAGTCGATGGGCCTCTGCCGGGGGTATGGGCAGAGGATGGCAGAGGCTGCTGTCTACAGGGGACCTGAGCTTCAACCTCAAGAGAGTGTTGCAAGAAACGGAGAGTCGGAGGAACAGCCTGCGTCGCCGCTGAGATTGACTCCTCTTCCTCACCGAGACGGGCAAAGGATATTTGTCCTGAGACCGCTCCATCTTGAGCCAACGTGCCAGCGCAGTTTCATACTTTGCATGGGCGCGGGGTTGGTGTTGCCACTCTCCCCGCGCTCACTGACGACATGCTATGCCTGCCATGTCTGACGCACCGCCCGCAAGTCGTTCTCCAAAAAACACTGGCAGAGATATACCACGCTGCGCTATGCCTCACGCACCGCACAACACGGCAACGAAAATGTCACAAATTTCGGCTCTGCCGAGCCTGTGATTTTAATGTTCCCGGAGGCCCCTCCGGGAACATGATTTCCCGAGGGTCCCGGCCGGGTAAACGTCACCGCGTGTCATGTCCCGGCCGCGTGGCCGATGGCGTTATTGATGCTATGCTACGCTTCCCGATCCACGCTCCTCGTCTCCGCCGCGGCCTGTGCCGAACGCGGAGTCGCACGGACTCGGCCCGCGGGATCGCGGGGCAGCATCTCGCCCACACTGCAGCCAAAATGGCTTCTCTAAAAACACTCGCCGCTTACGCCCAGAGTCCAAATGCCGAGCGCGTGCGAGCCATGCCAGGGACATGCAAAGTCTTTGTCAGGCCGTCCGCCCTCTGCTCCGCAGCGGGGGCGCGCCCAAGCTGCAAGGTCCCCTGGCGTAGCCTGCTGCGCAGAGCGCTGGCCCTGTTGGCCAGGCAGCGGGTGCGCCACGAGCCTTGGCCCATGGCTACTGCGAGCGTCCTCCTTCACATTCTCCTCCACGTCCTCATTTTCATTCTCCCTTCATCCGCCTCCTGCGCCTCATCCTGCGCCTGCTGCTGCTGCTCCTCCTCCTTCTATCGTCATCCCCATCGACTTCAAGGCTGGCTCGGTGGCAAGACTTGCCGCAGACAATTGTATACCCACAGGTGTTTACTTATATTCTCATACGCACCTCTCCGAGGGAGTAGAGCTCAGAGGCGATTAATGCGCACGTTGTCCGCGATTTTTCTGGCCGTTTCGCTCGGGACATCCTCGACATTCTGAACATCGGTGGCACCCCTCACGCAGATCGTGACGTCAGGGTCCAAAAACACATGGGAATTTCAACATTTTAACATAAAACCTTCAAACACACATGGTAATTTCAATGATTTTGACCCCGATTCTCAGAGAATGGCGGTTTCGCCTGAGACATCCTCCCAAAAATCGAGCCCCAGACCCCTCCTCGGAGCCTCCTGGGGGCCTCCTGGGGGCCTCCTGGAACCTCCTGGGGCCTCCTGGGGCTTTCTGGACCTTCTGGTACCCCAGACCCCGCCTCGGAGCCTCCTGGAGTTCTCCTGGGCCTGCTGAGGCCGCCTGGGGCCTCCTGGGGCCTCCTGGGGCCTCCTGGGGCTTCAGAACTACATGCACACACAGAGACACAAATCACGCCCAACACGTCACACGCTAGACAAACATAACATACACACACACACAACACCGACAACACACAAAAAGCACGCACCACACAAAGCACACATCACACACACACAACACTCACAATCCTGGGGCCTCCTGGAGCCTCTTCTGGTATCCAAGTCGGGCCTCCTGAGGCTTCCTGGGGGGCCCTGGTACACACATCGCAAGGTGCGGCATCCCCACTTGCGCTCGAGTGCGACTTCGCTGTTGCATGTCACTCCTGCTTCAAACGCCCCTTCAGCTTGTTGTATGAGCCTGGGCACACACGTGCCACTTGTATATATCCGCCGACCCCAGAGGCATGTGCGATATCCTTCTGAGCTGGATACCACACCCGACAATTGTTCGCCCCAAACCGCCCCGCCGTCGACCTGATCCGACACCCCCACCCCGCCTTGGGACCACGAATTCTCGCCCAAAATCGACCAACACCCTCCTCCATGCCCCGGCACCTCCACCCCTTGGAGCTTTTGTTTTTGTGGCCCCCCACCCCAAGAAGTCTCGCCCAAAATCGACCAACACCCCCCTTCATGCTCCAGCACCCCCACCCCTTGGAGCGTTTGTTTTTTAGGTTCCCCACCCCACGATGT